GAACTTCATGTGCTGACCTCTCCCTTCGTGTTAAACTGGAACATGTAGGTCTGCGTCTTCTCTTCACATGCTGTTGGGGATGGCCGAGGCTGATGATTTTCCTTTCTTCTTTGCAAGGAGTTTGACCCAGGCCAGGACACCTATCAGTACCCTCCCAAGGATGGCAGTGGGCAGCACGTGGACGTGAGCCCCACCAGCCAGCGCCTGCAGCTCCTCGAGCCCTTCGACAAGTGGGATGGCAAGGATCTAGAGGACATGCTGATCCTCATCAAGGTCAGGGGCTGTGACAGCACTGGTCAAACTGGGGTTTGCACATCAGCTTCTAGAAGCTTTGGATGTGCCTTTCAGCTGTCTTGTGACTTCCTCCCCTATGGCCACATTGTTATGGAAAGTGAAGCAGGTGATTCCTTCCAGGCGTTTCCTTCTGATATTTCTATTATAACTAAGAGACTTTTCTCCTTTGGGCTAGCAGTTAGCTGATACCATGAAAAATGAAGCTTGTTATACCATCTATAATACAATTCTACCCATACCTTGCAGTCTGCAGCATTTGTCCCAGTTATAACCTGCAGCAGAAAGGTGGATGAGTTCTTTAATTAGCATCTCCAATACCTGACTGTTCTAAGATGTATTTTGTCTGAAATGAGGTCATTAGGAACTCTGCATCCATCAGCATGTACATTCTCTTCCCATTTGATAGAAAATTACTTCATAATATTTAAACATTGCATTTCAATCTCTTAATGAAGACACAGATTTCTCCTCACTGCCTGTGGCGAGTTAACAGGCTGAAAGCTTCAGTGCTGGGTTCTGAAATGCAGTCCCTTGGGAGCTGGCCCTTAGGGACACTGCTGGCTCTCAACAGCAGAGGTGCAGGTACTCCCAAGGGCCACGCTGAGCTGTTTGACACGCATCAAGCACTGGGGGACTCAGCAGCTGGGAGGCCATTACCTCTGGTTGGGGATTCTGTTCTTAAAAGTTGAGAAGAGTTACAGGTTTTCCCTCAAAGCTTCCACTCTACCTGGCATCTTGCTGCACTGCCCCAGCAGGGAGGCTGAACTGTAGCAGGAAGGGCTTAATTGCTTTTTGTACCTGCTGCTGAGGGAGGTGAAGACGTGGCAGGAGGTCTCATGCTAAGCACGTTTTTGTGATTTACCCTTTGGAAGGGGGGATGTTCTTCCTGCCCAACACATGCAGAATGACCATTGTGTTCTGCCCTAGAGTGTCCTGACCCTGTAACAGATGCAGGGTTTGTCTGATCCAAAATTCCCCAGTTTATGCCTTTAAAAAGAGAAGTAGGATCCTTCAGGGTAACAAGTGTTGAGGAAGGCTCAAGTCACAGATCCATCCTAAGCTGTTTCTTCTGCTGCCTTTTAGGTAAAAGGGAAGTGTACCACTGACCACATCTCTGCAGCTGGACCGTGGCTCAAATTCCGTGGCCACCTGGACAACATCTCCAACAACCTGCTCATCGGTGCCATCAACATCGAGAATGGCAAGGCCAACTCTGTGAGGAATGCCCTGACCCAGGAGTTCGGGCCAGTTCCAGACACAGCCCGTTACTACAAGGTGAGCTGTTCCCCTGCTGCCTGGCTGGAGAGGATGGTTCCACTTTGGGCAGCCCGTGCCAAGGCTGAGGATCTCACGCTCCTCCTGCTCCCAGCTGACAGCGGCTAGGAATTCACTCAGCGTTGAGGCTTTTTCTTGGCACTTTCGCTGATGGCAGTTCCTGTAGGAGAGTCTCTCCCTGCCTGCAACAGGATCTGGTGGCCCAGAGGGGCCCAGGAGTCATAGATGACAGAGGAAGAACTCTTTCAGGCACTGCATGCCATACAAGGCACGGGTGTCCTCAGGCTGCAGCTAAATCCCACCACCTGGAGTGTTTCACCTGTGACTAGACTGATGTTAAAATGAATTCTAATCTTGTCCACTTCATTCTGTAAGACCTGGCTTAGAACCTCACAAAATGTCCTTTTTACCCTCTGGACAGCTTGGCAGTGGTCTCAGATGGGTTCTCCCAGTAGACTGAAGTTCAGGTTTTCCATGATCATGGTGGTTGTGAATGCTGCTCTGGCATGGGGCCCTGGAAGGAAAGGTGGCAGTGAGGATTTGCTCTGGGTCCCAGGGACACTCCTCAGCCCCTTCCTGCTGTGGTCACTTAATTCCTTTGGATCTGTCCTTCCTCGGAACCGAAGGGAGCCGTCCAGGGGAGTGTGCCAGAGCACAGCACTGAAACTGGATGTGTGGGTGGATATTAACTGTTAATTCCTCACTCGAGTGAATGCAGAAATGTAAATCTATTTTTGTATCACAGAAAATGGGCGTAAAATGGGCAGTTATTGGGGATGAGAACTACGGAGAGGGATCAAGCCGGGAGCACGCGGCGTTGGAGCCACGCCACTTAGGGGGCAGGGTCATCATCACCAAGAGCTTCGCCAGGATCCACGGTGAGGGATGGTGTGAACAGGATGTGTTTGGGTTGGGTGGGAGCCGTGTTCACCTCGCCCTGGGGCTCAATGCCTGCAGGCACAGACCTGCTGGTTCTGTTGCTGGAATGCTGCTCTGAGAAGCGCTGGGCAGCCAGAAATCAATCCTGCCCCCTGTGGGGTGTTGTTACAAGGGAGCCCTGTGGTTTGTTCTCCACAGAAACCAACCTGAAGAAGCAAGGTCTGCTGCCTCTTACCTTTGCTGACCCATCAGACTACAACAAGATCCATCCCGTGGACAAGCTGAGCATCGTGGGGCTGGCAGACTTTGCACCTGGAAAGGTACCTGTCTGGCGTCCCCTGAGGCAGCACAGCCCCCTTTGATCTGCCACCCAGCCCAGACACTTTAGGGCCCCCCGACCCCACAGAGCAGGTCAGAATCAGTTCTGAGTAGTAGTGAGAAACCCTTGTGTGATATTCTGAATCCCTGGACCTGTTGCCTTAAGCACCAGCAGCCCCTAGAAGGAACTCTGACCCCACCCTGAGCTACGATCCTCCATTTTCAATCCTTTCAAACCACGTAGGACTTTTCCTGTGAGAACCTCCAGTGAACTTGCTCCTTTGAAAGAGAAGGGTGGGGAAATAAAACTATCATCTTCTTCCTTTAGCCTCTGAAATGCATCATCAAGCATCCCAACGGGAGCCAAGAAACAATCATGCTGAACCACACCTTCAACGAGTCGCAGATCGAGTGGTTCCAGGCTGGCAGTGCCCTCAACAGAATGAAGGAGCTGCAGCAGAAATCCAGCTAAGTGTGCACGGTGCCCCTGGTGCTCTGGACTCGATTCAGCTCTGGCATTTTCATGAAAAGTGCAATTCCATGCCTCCTGTTGGAATAAACGTCTGATCAAATGTAACCATAGCTTCCTTTTTGTTATGGTACTTCCTCTTCACTGACACTTTGAAAAGGGAGTGCAGCTAGGCTTACTTTTTGTCTTTTCAATTTCCCAGCTCCCTTTTTCTATATTGGCTCAATTTCAGTTGTCCCACAGTTATTTATATTTGGAAATAACCAGCTTAAGGTGGGTTGGGCTGCTCAGTTGGTTGTTTTCCACCCATTCATTTTACTGATGGCTAAAGAAATAAAAGGACAATAAAGAATGTGAACCATCTCTTCTGCCTCATGTTTGCTCTATTCATAATCCTGCCCTTTGCCTCCTGCTTTTCCTGACAGGGTGGGAAAGAACTTCTTGGGGGATACAGGATGGCACCTGCCCGGTGGTTACGCTGTAAAATCATTCCTGTGCACAACACAAGGTCCCTCACAGCTGCTATGTGCTGCTTGTCCCTTATCCCACCTTCCTTTTCCACCTCTACAAACAGATGGGGAGGTTTCTGTGCAGTTTGTTTCCACCCTGGCCTCTCTGAGCACTGCTGCTCCAGAGCTAGCACTGGCTAAGCTCACTGAGCAGATGGACCTGTTACTGGGTGAACCTAAAGAATCCGAGGCTCCCTTTTAATTAGGGCAAAGCACCAGGAATAGCAGCTCAGAATTCAAGGGCTCTAAGGATGCTGCTGGTGACTCAGGCTTTGTCTGCACGGCTGGAGGTTGAGCAGACCCAAGGACTGGCAGCCCCTTCCTGCCAGGCATGCCTGGCTCTGTCACTGCATCCAACGTCGCTCCCCTGGCACTGGGCCCTGCAGAGATTTTACTCCTGTTTTGTTCGCCCCTTTTCCTTTCACTGCTGTCAGGGAGGGCAATGGGAATTGTTTGTTACTGACTGGCAGAGCAGAGTGTTGGTCTCAACACTGGCTGCCTTGAAATCCAAGTAGCTAAACTGCAGGAGGCAACTTTTTTTTCTCCCTGCTAGGCAGGAAGCTCATAGTCCCCCCCCCAGAATTGTAGAGGAAGGCAGGCTGGGTGGTTTTCACCATTGATTCCATTTCTGGTACAAACACTCCCCCACAAACAACTCTTTTGCTTACTCAAAGCAGCCTCAAGTCCATTTCTGTTCATAGTATGTATTTTGAGTCCAACTCCTGCAAAGTTGAGCTCATTCTTCATAACTGAGCCCACCCAGTGCAGTATTTCCATCAGCACAAAGCAGCCTGTGGCTTTCCACAGCCGTTACCTGCACAGAGCCCACATTACTTTTGGGTAAACCACTGTCCTTCCAGTTCTCTTTGGCTGATTTCTGCCACGGGTAAGGTTCCCATCCTTAATAGAACATCACCACCACCACCTCCCCTACCCTCTCAGCAGCAGCATTTGCCAGACCCCCAGAGTACCACACCTCTAGCTCCAGTCTTTTGCTGTTTTTTCTCCATTTTCTGTCAAAAGAAAGGCAAGTTTCTACCCCCCTGAGATCAAGCTCTCAGTCCAAGGACACAATCCTTCTTGACAGGCATTCTCTCCTGCTTTCACTCACTGAAGTCAACTCCCTTCTTAATTCAGGCAAGGAGAAGACCTCCAGTTTCCCCTCCAGGGCAGGAGAGCTCCAGCTGAGTCGGTCGCTGCTGCGCTCAAGGCTTTTTCTGCTTGTAAATTCACTTCTCTAGATGAGTGAAGACAGTTCTTGAAAGGGACTGTCTCGCTCTGGCAGGGTGGAAGCTGAAGGGGATACAGAGAATGGCAGGTCTGATTTCTCCTTCCGCTCCAGAGGAGCAGCGAGCAGCAGCAGGGTCCCATCATCCCCACGCAGGCACAGGAAGGGCTCTGTGCAGAGCAGGCTCTGACTGCAGCTAGCTGTTCGTCCACCATGATAGGAGGCCCAGGCCTGGCTCACTGATGGATCCCTGTCCAAGGGAGTGTGCAATTGTAAACCACACAGAGTAAACACAACATTAACAAATCTCTCCCTGATGAGTTATGGATGAAGTACTTGCCTTTTTTTTTTTTCCCAGCACTTACCCAGACTCCTTCAAACCTTGTAAGCACTACACCAAACATTCAGCCCTCGGGAATCAAGCACTTTCCCATTCCACCTCTTGGCTGTCCCAACACTCTCCAGCTGTGAGCAAACAGCTTCCACTGGTTTAGATCCCTGTCTCTCACACTTTACACAAGTGGGTCCTGTGCCAAACCACTGCATGGAAAAGACCATATAGGTGCTGTGCAAGCCCTGCTGTGCTCCTCTTATACCCACTCCTACCTGCAGATCCTGCACCCACAGCCTGCTTTCCATCAGCTACCCGGGGAGGGGGGGCTCACCACACAGTGTGACCACAGGAACAACCTCATTTCTCTATGAACCATGCACACAGTTACCACAAGAGTGTAGGGTGCCTCTTTCTTCTGCACTTCCTCCGTGGCGTTGGAGGTGGAAGCCTCTGCAGAGCTCGGGCCCGTCGGCGAGGTGTCCACAAAGGTTTCATCCACCACTCGGAAGCGGATCTCCTCCCCTATGTCCATGTACAGGTCATGGGCCCCTTCTTCTGTCTCGTACTCCCACACCCACACCTGCTCTGCTTCGTCACTGCCCACGCCAAGGGTTAAGGATGAAGCACTCAGCACTGTGCCCAGCAGGTCACCCAGCAGCTCTGGGAACAGGCTCAGCTCAAAGCCCTCTCACCGTTATTTCTCCAAGTGCACTGTTCTAGTCAGCACTTGGGCAGCCCAGGACACCCTCATCTCATTTCTGATTTTCCTGTGAAGTTACCCAAGGGGATCAAAGGATACAACTTAGCTGGCTGCTGCAGGGATTCTGGTGGGATGACAATATCATCGAAGAATCCAATGGAAACTGCAGAGAGAAGAATTTGGTTTAGATAAAACCAATTCTTTGCATGTGATGCACACACCCCAGCAACTAAGATGCATTTCTAGACACATTCTCCTTCCTCTGTCAGAAAGGATGTCTGAGAGCACATAGGAATCCTTCTGAGGGCCCAACTGCAGTTGGCAGCATAACAACCACCCAGCAAAAAGTCCATGCAGCAACAGAGGGCACAGTCCTCTCGACTGCTAGGAAAGGGAAAGGTGGTTTGGAGCAGGACTGGAACTGAAAAACGTTCCAAGAAATGAGTCAGGCCCTGTAGAGGTCTGTGACAGAAAAGGGCTTAGAAATCACAGATGGAACATGTTAAATAAAGACCAATATAATGACAGAACAACCCCCGTCTCCCTCGTGAGCTTTCACAATGTTGAGTTTTATCAGAGAGTGGAAATGCCCAAATTCAGCAACAAATGCACACAAGTTAAACTTATTGTCCTAACTTAACGACTGAGGAGCTCGTTTACAGGAGGACTCCTATGGGAAAGGAAAGCAACTCATCAATTATGCATTCCATGAATCTGACAGCACTTGGTGCTCACAAAGACATTCTCCTGCTGCGTTTCCAGGTACAGGAGACACTGATGGATTTGTGCAGAACTACAGGAAAGATCTATCAGACCAACACAAGCCAATATTATCACTTTAAAAAATCCCAAGTTCTGTTAACTGAAGTGAAAAAACAAATCCAGTCTAGGCTCCAGATGGGCTCGCCTCTTCTTGAGGCAGAATGTCTGGGCTGGAAGGGACTTCCAAGGGTCATCCAGTCCAAAGTGCATGCACATGAATGACAAAAGGGGAGTGCAGACAAAACCAGCAAGAGCAGAAGCTTCCAAACTCAAACTACCACCCTCAAGTCAGAGAAGCACTGCAGACCAGCAAGAGCCTTTAAATAGCCCTCCCCCAGCACTGCACAACCCAAACCCAACATTCCACAAGAGGCAGGAGCTCTGCAGCTCCTTGCCCCTGGTGCCAGCAGGGGTGTTTTACCGTGGACGCCCTCTGGGGTGCAGCTCTTGATCTGCCCGATGAGAATCTCGTCCAGGAAGGGGTGGAAGACGACGTAGCGGAAATGCACTGTGAGGAAAGCAGATCGTTCAGGAGCTGTGAGCCTCCCACAGCCACCACAACAAAACCCCACAGCCTCCACGCCCACTGAAATGCTCCTGCAGCTTCTTTTACATCCTTCCAGGCACTGATCAGGCAGAAAAATGGGAGTGAGTTGGGTTGAAATTCTGCTTTCTTGTAATACTTCTGCTCCTTTCACCTTTGTGGGTAACACTGTGTTTTCTTTCAATTAAATATTAAGTTAAATATGATCTGAGTAAAAAAGATTCTCTAAAATAACTATTTTTTTTTTTATTCAGATGAAATTAAGTGTTTCTGGCTAAGCATTTGGCATTGGTAAGGATGCTATACCAAGACAGTCTCAGCCAAAGAATGCTTCTGAGCCATTTAACATCCTTTTAGCCATCCACACTCAGTACATACTCATCCATTCATATCCTCTTTTACATAAAAAAATCAAAGGAAAAAAAAGTTATTAGCAGACACAGCAGGATTTATCAAAGCAGACTTTTTTCCCAGACTCAGACAGAATATATTCTTTTTTCAGTTCAAGTAGTAATTCAAAATTAGGGAGCTAAATGGAGATTAAAGCAAGCAGGACAGCCTGGCATCCTTCTGTATTAGTGAAGCTTTTATTTGCAGGGAATGAGTCCTGTTTTGAGTTAAAACTTAGACAAAGTAACTATACAGAGTCAGGCCAGTTCCCTTCTAACAGGAATTATTCAATTTGCTCAAGCTATGCTTCCACACTGCAACTAGAAAAATACATTTCCTTCCAGCTGAAAGAAAATTATTTTAACCTTTAAAAATGTAGGAAATGGGCTTTTATGCATTTCTTTGCAGTTTTTACCCAGACAGATTTGTCAAAGTAAAGAAATTAGTCATTTATCTTCTAAAGTCACTAGAAATGTAAGCTGAACCAGATCTGTCTAAGCCTACAACAAAAATGTAGCAAAACTTCCAGCCAGGAAAACAGCATCCAATGCTGTGTGAATGTTATACATAGAAAAGTGTTTCAGCATTTCAGCTGGGGAAAAAATAAGTTTCTAAAATCAAAAAATACTAGGGAAATGCAGTACCTTTGGTGTGTGAGGCACCATCTCCAGGGAATATGTAGGAGTCCTCCAGCTTTGTGATATCATACAGGCAGATGCAGAGGCCGACATTGTACACAACCTGCTCCAAATCACAAAATAAATAATCCAAAAGCAATAAATCAAGCAACCCATCAGGTTAAATCAAGCAAACCATCAAATTTATACACTCCACACAGCCCTTCAAAAGACAACAGAAGGGTGGTGAGATGGGGGGGGAGGCTGTTTTGGTCCACTCCCTTCAGCAACCCCAGCATTGCAGGGGAACCCCCAAATCACTCAAGCATTAAAGGAGCATAAATTTTCACTGGCACTGGAAACAACACTGCTACAAACAGAAACCCTGGGGGTGACTGTCAGTGGTGAGAGAACCTGACCTGCTAAGATAGTGGCCAGTTGCCCACAGACATCGCTCCCCAGCCCCACAGCTTATCTAAAGGCTAAACAGGCTTTGCAGGAGTTACACCCTCAGAAGCCTCTAGGCTTGCCTTTGTCTTCAACTGTATTAGCTCTAGGGAGAGAAGAGGAGAAATCTTAATTTCTCTGCTACTTCTGAGATTGCTTCACAGCCTACAAAACCTGAGGCACCTACCTGTAACCAATGGATGAGGGAAGACTTTGGCTTTTCATAACCTGTCTGTATAATCTCCTATCCACAACCCCTGAGCACTTCATGTTGCACTTTTGGGCTCACTTCATGCTCCCAAGCTGCACTTTTTTGAGTTTTGCACCTGCCTTGCACTGAAAGCTGTGATAATCCCAGTCCCAGAGGCTGCACAGGGAAACTGAGACCTCCTTGTCTGTGACAGAACGCTGCTTTATATCCTGCAGCAGAGACCAACTCCTTACTGCCACACTGTATTTCAAGTACTTAGCACAGACTAAGCCATTAACACCTTCATTTCTCTTCTAGTATTACTGTGCTACTTTTATTTACAACCTTTTCAGAATTTCCTCACTGGATGGATTAGTTCGCATCCATTTTTCAGACTCTGTTTTGGACAGCTGCTCTACCCACAAACCAGCAGTTACTCTCACTTCTCTTTCATGCTTCTCTGCCCCTTCTGGCATCTCAGTATCTTCCCTTTATAGCCTTAACCAGCAGAAAAAAAAGTCTCCTCTGAGATAATACATGGCTGTGTCTTTGTTCAGTCTCTGATACCAGTCACTGGGGACAGTATTCCCATCTAAGCTATTCTGATACCTCACCTACACACCTCATTAGGAAAAAATAAAAGGAAGAAATACTCAGGGACGTTATGACACCTGCATCAACCTCACCCACGCTTTACCTTATTGGCCAATTTCTTGTTTAGCTCTTCAGCAATGGAATCATTCAGTTTCCTCTCAAACTGCCAGGGAGGAATTCTTACTGTGTCAGTCATCTCCACCAGGACAAACATGGTGGCACGAAGCACCTCAGAGGA